TTTTCTACACTCTATTCTATGCATAAATCCATCTCTTTCCAGAATCTTGAACTGTCACCTCTAAATTACTTATACAAACAACCTAACATCCCTGTAAATATTTAGTCCTGTGCTATGAGTGTGCCAGAGAGCAATACAATAATGTTTCATTAACCCAAATTCAACATATCCAAAATCAAATTCATCATCCAAGACTCTCCATTCTCCCCAAAAAGAAAATTTACCCATTCTTTGGACTTCCCTATTCCTAGTAACAGCAACAAATCAATTTTGACCACCATAACAAAAACTCTCCTTTAAAAACCTAAAAAGTCTAGCTTTCAAGCATAGGCATTTGAAAAAAAGATTAAGACTACAATCTTTTCAGAGGTAGATCGAGAAAGAAAAAACTCCCTAACAGGAAGCATATAAGCATTAATACTAGAAAGGAAAAAATGAACCCTCAGTGGGGGGGAAGGTTATAATGAGCTTCTAAGTGCCTTTGAATTTTATTTGTAATTGAAAGGACCCACATAGGTCATCTACTTCAACGTCCTCATTTTACAATTGAGAAAAATGAAAGACCTTTCTTGAGAGCTAAAATGACTGGTCCAACATTACATAGACGTTCCTAGCTCCTTCCAATTTCTCCCATTCTCTGATTACTGCTTCAGATGTGAGGCTGTACCACTTTCTAAAGAAGACCCTCTTCTCCATGTCCAGTGGGTATCAGAGATCAAGTTCCTAATAATGTTGTCAAGTCTAACACAAGAGAAATGTATTCCTAGCATTTTGAGGTAGATTCTGAATTGACTTTTCTATAGAAGTATTGCTGTACACAATATGTTCAATATTATTTTTGTACAAATTATTATAGTTTTTTAATTCTCTAGTATTATTAGTTAGCCTAATTCTCTAATTAAGGTATATTATGGATTTTGGTGGGCTGTTTATTCATGTAACCACTAAGTTTCCTGTTTATGAGAAAGTAAGTTCCAAGTTATAAACCATTTTATAAGTTTTAAGGTATAATCAATCCCATTTTAAGTTAGGAAGTACCAATACACAATGATTCAAAATTATAAACTGTATGTGATAAGCTAAAAACACATTTCAGAAAAAGTGCCATTTTATACAAAGCTCCACCTCAGGGACCATTTATTTTTAAAGTTAGGTATTTTGAACATTTAGCACAGGATATAATCTACATACACCTTTTTATTAATATTTCACTGGAAAACCGAAGTTTAAAAAAAAATCAAACATTTCTATACTCATTTAGGAAAAACAAAACTTTTCGTGTATATTTTCATGTAGAGAGCTATAATAGGTAAGAAGAAAAATATTATCATTTCATATATAAAGAGTTGACAATGTATACATTATACAATATCTAGAGCTAGTTCCAAATATGTATGGATAAATAAATTATATCTGAACAGATAAGTGGAAATTCAAAATACATTTTTCTTTTCTCTTGAGATAAAGTTTATGTTTCATGAATTAAAATTTGTTTGAGAAATCTATTTTTAAAATTTCTACTCAGTACATTAAATCAATGGATATTCTTCACTCATTCATTTAATCTGTTCAACAACAAAAAACAATGAGCCCCTACAACCTGCTACACACTGTATTAACAACTTTAGATTTATGATAAAAAACATCAAATCAGTTCCTGTCCTCAAGAAGCTTAAAAAAAAACCTTGAGTTAACTGTATGTACCCAAGTGATAATGACAGCTGAATTTCAGTTGGTCATTTTTAAAAAACACTAAAAAATATAACCAAATTAATTTTCCAAAAAAAATAACCCAATACAATAGTAATTTTGAAGACACTGAATAGTCTCATCTATATAAAGTAGCCTCACAAAGGAACCAAAAGCACTGTTTTTGTAGATCTCTAATAATATATTTTAATAGTGGTTTTTGCTATGAAAATAAATCAAAAGCTACTATGTACTGTGATAATGAAAATCAAGCATTTGGAAATGGCACCTTCGACTATTCTGAAAATAAAGCAAAATGAATAAAGTATTATACGATAGTCATACATTGTCAGGGACCATTTTAAGTTAGGAACTTAATGCTCAGTTCTAAATATATAATTATTTACAAACCTGAGTAATAAAGTAGCTCCACAGCATATTTTACAAATGATCACAACTATGCATTTTGGATTTTGTCAGCTACAAGTTTTTAATGAAAAAGGCCTTAATGTTTTCTGGAGATTTTATTTTTCACAAACTTAAATCAATATTCTGCTTGCTTATTACCAAGTACTATAACTTTTTTCATCCATACTAACCATACCTATATTTAGATATTACATACTGATATTAACTATAATACCTATTAAATTATTAAAAACTCTTGATATATGAGAAACATTCTTCAATTTAGAGCCATACCCTTCCAAAGCAAAATGCAATGTAAATCAACCATTCTAAAATGTCAAGAAAAATCCTACTGACATTTTTTCATGAAATTTTACACTGAAATATTTTTCATCATTCATCAGTTAAAACATTTTTTAAATCTTTAAAAGCATTACGAAAACATCTTTACTGAACTTATGCATTCTACTTAGTAGTGGAATAAATGGGTATTTTATCACCATTTACATATAAGGAAATCAAGGCACAAAGGTGTCCATTTTGTAAACTGCAAGGTCACTTCCTAAGCAAGCAACTGATCCTACCCCATCAAATTATATGTGCGCCACTTTCAAGTGCCACAAAACAATTACTGTACCTTAAAGCAGCTGCCTCTGCAATGCCTATGTGCATTCCATTTTATCTAGAGGGTTATGGCAACAAGCTCAAACAAGAAAAGCTGGAAAGGGAGGATTACGAAAACAAAAAGAAAACACTTATTTTTGGTAGGGAATCATTTATTTTAATATAATAAGATGTAAACAGTGTTTAACATAGTATCAAATAACTAAGTTGTTTCTTCCATTTTCAAAAAATAATTCACCTTTCAGTTAGATCGTGCAAAATTAGAGCCTACCTATCCTTGTAGACGTAAGTTAGAAAAACGAGGAAAAAATCCTGTAGCACGTAATTCAATACATGATAATGCAAAGAGAGAAATGAACAAAAAATGAAATTTAGATAAATTAGGAAAAGGTTGTTACCATAATTACAACTCCATCTTAAATATTAAATGCTTCCTTTCGTTCAGCTGCAGACTATGATAAGCATCATTTATTCTGTGATTAGAAAATAAAGAATTCCAAAACTTTTCTTATTGAATGCTTGAGAAATTTTATACCATGTACTTTATTCAAAGATTCGACATAAATATACTTTTCCTAACTTAGAAACTTAGGGCATGAGAAAAGCTGTTCCTGAGAGTTCAAAGACTGCAACTGCATGTGCGAAGATGATATAGTGCTATCTATCAACCATTAGAAAAGTGAAAGTTACCTACCATCCAAATTAAATTCAAGAACATCAGACGGGTTGAAAAACCAATAAATCAATTACATCGATTACCGGACAGAAATAAGACTTGGCTAATACGTGAATCTAACACCAAAGGAAAAAATGAAAATATAACCCAAGGATAGGACTAGCCCGAGTCGTATGAAAGTACCCCGTCTAGCTGGGGATCAGCTAATCAATCGGCTACAGGACAGGTTGTGAGCGTTCAGGTCAGATGTGCTCTCTGTTCATCGTTATTCCAGCTCATCATCAGCAAGTGCAAGAGAAGGCGCCTGAGGACCGAAGCTAGGGGGCACGCTGTAGCAAGGGGAGAAGAAAAACGGGAAAGGTGCAATGGATGCTGCATAGTTGAATAATTATCTGGGTGGCACAATGGGCGAGAACTGCCGACATCGGAGCCGAGGGAGGGGCTCCCCAACTCGCCACGAGGCACCCCCCATTCCCAGGCATCGGAGGCAACAGCCCCGCTCCGCCTGCTCCCCAGCGGAGAAAGGGATCCCCGCACTCGCTTCACCCTTAGGTCTTCAGACCCAGACCCGCGGCGCAAGCACGCAAACGCGGAGCTTCCTTTACGGAGCCCCCCGGCCCCCGGCGCTG